TGAACAATTTGACAAATATTAAGTTAGCATGCGTAAATATCGGTTTCTAGTGGACTCCCTTAGGGCCATAGCTGAATTCCGAAGGGACTACCAAATTCCTGACGACGTCCATCTCTCCCTAGCCGAACTAGAAACAACACCCTGGGGCAAATCGGGCTTCGTCCCGTTTACCGTGATATCGATCGTAGAAGTCGGCCTTCGGTTTCCCGTTCAACCACTCATATGTGAATTCCTTAGGCAAACAAGACTCTGCCCGACCCAACTCTCCACAAATATTTATAGGATAATAAACAGCATCGCCGAGCTAAACCGCCGGCTCGGCCTCAACCTCAGATTGGCTGAGCTATTCCATCAATATTCGCTCGGCCAAAATGACAACAGTTGGGTGTACTATTTAATGGTAAGAAGAGGCCGAGAGAAAACTATAAAAAAACACATCGGATAAAGACTTAAATGACGACGACTTCCTTTAGGTTTCTAGAAATTTTGAAGATCAAGAAGCCCAGATACCAGGCTACAATATAAACTGGAATAAAGGGACTGTCGGTAAGAATACCACGGTTTAATTTTCTATTTTTGCTTTGCTGTTCCAAGCTATAATTTTGCGCCGGGCTAACCGTTTTGCCTTTCTTTTGTGCAGACTTAAACCAGCTTAAATCACATTACCCATACGCCAACCAAGACGTTCTTCATGCCGCGCTCTGGTACTGTCATCATGGTTAGGTCGAGCTACTTAACTTTGAACCGACCTACCGATATAGTAGAAGAAGGAAGACCAGGGTGACTAACTTTCTCCTGGAACCATCACCTAAACCGGACCCCAACTTGCTCCAAATCAACCTTATTCCCTTCACTGAAGAACAAGAAATGGCCAAGCGTCGTGCTGTTCGCGCCCTGATCCCCGAACAAACCACAACTCCAACTGTCGAAGTTCAAATCGAGGCACCACAGGCCGGTCAGACACACGAGGCTGTGGTGGCCCTCCCTACAACCCGAGCTTCGCCATATCGGCCAAGCAAGCGGCCACGCACACAACGCCTGAAGGATGAGGATGATACTAAGCCATCCGAAATCGGGCTTCAAGAAGCAACTCACTCCCAAGGTCGCGACCGACCTAGCCCCTCAAATCCTCCCACACCGCCAGTGTAGGCACCATCTGTCACCTTCAGAGGTCGCGCCATAACGGCCTCTGACTTCGTCAATACCGAAAAGGATCACCTGTTGGCCTTCAATTTAGCGAAGAGTGTCTACCTACCTGCCGCCATGGAGCGACATAACAGTTTGACCGAGCTGAAGGCCATTCGCTCGGCCTCTAAATCGATGATACTGGTAAGCCCCAAAATCCCTAAAACTTGAAACATTTGTAACGGTCCCAGTGCATTGGTTGTCCTCTAACCGCTCTGAACTATGCAGGCCTTACAAAAGAGCCAAGTGGCTCATAAACGAGTACTTGAGCTCCAGAAGATGGCACGGTCAGCCGTCACCGAAGCAGAATCCAAGACAGCCAAGCTAAAAGAAGCTTAGGCCAAGCTGGCCGAACTAGAGGCCGAAAACGCGAGGTTGGCCGAACCGATCAGTACGACAGAGGCTGACAAGCAGAAGGCCTTAGCCCAGAAAAAAGACCGCTATCTACGTGAGCTGGCCAAGCTGGAGAGGAAGAAGAATGCCGACCTGGAGGATGTAAGGAAAAAAATGCAGGACGCAGAGAACCAAGGCTTCAAAAAATGAGATGAGACTTATGTCCAATATTGCGAAGCTACCAAGGATATTTTCTTCAAGTGCGGTTGGAAAGACGCTGCTGAAAAGCTCGGTTACGGACATGACTCCGAGGTCTTCCTGAATCTCCCTCCCTACTTCATACCGGGCTATATGGCGGACTATGCTAACGCAGTCCAACAAAAGTTCCTTTAGGAGGGGGAGGAGGATGAGGTCCCTACTCCGCAAAATGCTTCCAACACTCAGCTCGGCCACCAGTTTGCCTCTCCTACTCCAGTGGACTCCAGCCCACCCTTGCATGAGGTAATTAACGAGGCGCCTATGACCGAACCCAACCAGGGGGCTGATGCTGTAGCCGAGCTACCTTTAGGCGAAGTCCGGGTTGATTTGGATGCTGACTTGGACGATCTTTTCGCTTGATTTTCTTTTTTCTTTTGATGTTTGCTTTCAGTGAAATTGTAACCGGGCTTAAGCCCCTCATTTTGTAATGAACGTTTCAAAATGGAATGAAATCTGTTATTTTCCCCAACTTTTTGTTCGGTTCATACCCCACTTTTTGTAATTATCATCCAATTTTAATTGCAAAAAGTTTGAACTCTTTGCTCGGTTGTTGTGTGTTAATGTTTTTGCACCATGCCAAGCCAGACTAATTTAGCTAGGCCTTACCTAATCCTACCAACCTTTT